GCATAGAAGTGGTTCAGCTCGTCAGGCAGGGATGCTTTGTTCGTGTCAATCTCCTGGCTGCAGCCCTTGTAGCCTGTGATTGACTGTAATCCCTGCCACAGCCTTCGGGTGTCAGCGAACTGCGTTTCAAGCCGCACTTTGTAGCTCCGTTTGGCGCGTTTTATGGCTTCTTCTAATGCATACCGTGATTTCTTGTACAGCTCTTCTTCCCCCGATTTGAACGCGGTGAATCTATCTTTTATTTTATTGCATATGTCGTGGTTGAACCACGGTTTCTGATTGGGAAATGACCTAATTTTCATTTCTGGTACACAAACGTCGGTGCAGTATTTAATATAGCTGGAGATGTTGGTTGATTTAATATAGCTTCTGATGTTGGAGTTAGGAAAACCTGCTTTGAGAACACAGATGGAGAGATTAGTGTGACCATGGCCGTCAGAGGTGAAATGAGAAACTATAGGCTTGGAGAAATTTTTAATCTTTAATCACCCTAACATGTTTTCCCTTTTAGAGATTCATTTTTTCTCCTTGGCATCTTAATACCAGATTATTGCAGGATTCTCTTGTTTTAATTTTTGGAACTGGGAGAGGTGAATTGCTTTCACCTCCTCTTGTCAAAGGGGTTTTGACTCTCTTAATCAATGGTGGGATGTAGTTAAAATCAAACCAATTTGCTCTGTCAACAGCACATGAAAAACATCAGTCAAAGTAGCCTAGTTATAAAAGAACTGGAGGTTGATATATTAGGTCAAAGATACGCTGAAGGTCACAGTTAAGCTATAAGGTGTGTTTTATTCATTCTGGTTATGGAATCAAAGCTTCTATAATTTTATTGATGTTTTACTTTTTGTTTTTTAGAACAATGGGGTATAAAAACAGATATTTGAAGATCCCTGATGGGCACTTTTGGATTGAAGGTGACCACCATGGCCACAGTTTAGACAGCAACAACTTCGGACCAGTAAGGATTTCATTGCTTGCTTGATTTCATTGTTTCAGTGCATGAATTGCAATGTGAATGCAAATTACTGTTTTTTTCTTGTTAGCATGACTTGTTAAACATTTTGTTCAATTAAATAATTATAATTTTTTTAATAAACAGACAGAGACAGAGTAGTATATAAAAGTCTAAAATAAAAGAAGACATAGTACTGCTTTTGGTAAGGATGTAAGGTCATTTCTAAAGAAGACTACTGGTGTGCACATTAAAAATTAATGTGTATTTAGTTGCACAGTAGATATAGTATTGTCATACTGTATTTACTGTATACCTTTTCATCTGAAATACAGTACAACTTAATCTCAAATCTACAAAAACATTGAAAATGCAGAGAAGTGTTTTGATTAACTTGCCAGGCTTGTCAAGAGAAAATGAAAATTATAAAATTCGATTTACAGAACGTTTTGATAAGGTTTCGCTCAAGATGTTCATTTGCATATTAAAATTTGTTGGCATCTCAAAATAATGTATGCACATGAATCAACAAGTGTTAAATGAATGGACCATGGAAATGATAAAAGATTATAAAAGAGGAAACTCCTTTCTTGTCAGGTGTACAGTAATGGTACAGTATGTCAGAAGGATCAGTAATACACATGTAGGTTTGACTCCTGCTGGTCCTAATTCACCGTTCTTCCTGGCCAGCTTGGAGAGTTATGCCCAGTTCCTTTATTAAGGAGACTTTCATCCTCTAGGAGCATCCTCTGTGGTCAGTCATTATTAATTGATTTTATATAATTATTACTGTGATTAACCTAAAGTTTCAAGCCATAAATCTATGTTGTTACTGGAAATTCTGCTGGAACATTATAAAGAAACTAAAACCATTTGGGCATTTGTGAGCCTTTCAATTAAATTTACAAATACACTTTACATTCACTAATTATTAATCAGAAAGCTATTTTGATTTCAAGCCAAAAAAAACCTTCTGAAGGATGATGTTATCTTTTTCTGCTTTCTAAGAAAGACATCATTCATGCATAGTAACATTTCAGCTCAGTTTGACTTAAATAACAATTGCATGTATTATAATTAGGAAATTTTATTTTCTTTGAAATACAAAAATTCTTCTTTTCAAAAAATCTTAACTGAATGAGAACAATTAGACAATTTCATTTTTAGTTTAAACTGTTATACATCTAGAAGCAGAAGAAACTCTTAACATGTACAGTACCATTCCATCATTTAAAGAAATTTAATCATTCTACTTTTTAGAAACTTTTTCATTATCCTAATTTTGCTCTTTAGGATTATACATTACATTTTCAATTTATTTATTTTAGAAGCCTTGTAATGGCACTACCAGAAGGATTTTATTAGTTTATAGGACTCAATGTAACTAATCTAGTGACACAGGTATATATAAATGAGTACATGTATAGTATAAATTTCAAGTGTAATCATTAGATGATTATCTAGCAAATAAGCAATGCACTTCTTTGTATTAATTGGTTTTATTTTCGTTTTGGTTAATGCAATCCCCTCTCCAAAATAAAAGTTTATTATGGCATACCATATGGAAAGAAAGGTGCGCTGTAATAATTTGTATTTATTATTTTGTTAGTTTTGAATTAAGTGATAATGCTTTGTTTATGTGTTGTGTAACAATGACAGAGTTTGGGGATTAATTAAGCCATGTCACCACAAAATGCACACATCTTACTTACTGAAGTGGACTTACTAATCGGTCCAAGTTACTGCACTGGTGTTCCACCCAGGTCGGCCATCACACTCATTTAAGATCATTGATCAGTCTAGCTTGCACACTGCACTGGCTACTAATCAATTCTTGCACACAGAAAATAGGTAGGGATGTCAACCATCTTCTCCTGGTCGTAGTCGTTATGCTGGTCACACTCTCACCGTCTACTTCTTACCAGCGAGTGAACACAGCAACGACTGAGGTGACTACACTGTCTTACTCAACCCAGACATTACACAGAAGAACTCATTCAAACTGGACATCACACAGACATCCCCACTGCTTTACTCAGACCTGTTGTCTTGCAAACCCTTGGAACTTGCTGTCTGTGTAAGCTTCCAATCCCCTCCAGGATTGCTATTGGAACCCATCTGATCTCCTTGGCGTTTCCCAGTGAGACCCGGCTACTCACTGCCACACCTGACAGTGAGGGTCTGACTCTCTGATGCTTATATATGGAATCTGGCTGCACACAGCTGACACCAGTCCCCTAATATCATCATGTTTATTCGGGCAGTTTACACTCTCCCGCTGCCCTATAACAGTTGGTATAGTCAAGAACCAGATATACATGTATTTTTTACTTTTACAGACATATGTTTTTTTTAGTGCAGAGCACACATGTTGGATCTGTATGTAAAATACATTTCCTTAAGCAGAATAATGAACACCTTGCGAATTTTCCTTTAGTCATACAGTGATATTGACATAAACCCAAAATGACACCCCTTGAAAAATCATGTCAGTATCTCACGTTCAACTGTTACAGAATAGAAACAGCATATCTTTGAGCCCAGGAAGACTAGTGACTCAGGTTTTAAATCTCTAAACACTGGCATTAAAGAAATGGATCCCTGTTTACACCTATAAGTGACAGATATAGGTGATGATAGTTGATGACAGTAGTTGAAGCGTATGTGGGTACACATCTCTGGAGGTTAAGTGCTGTCCATTGAGAAGCTCTAGTACTGAACCATCAGTAGGTGTGAAAAATAACTTTTCTACTGTAACCACATGGTTAAAATACTCTGCAGATGAAACAAAACAGTAGCTTTTTGAAAAAAAAAAAAATTATTTCTGGAAAGGTAGTCAGCAATATCTGGTATTGCAGGTTGTTTTTACACCTGATTGTTTTTTAAAAAATACTTTATTCAGAACAGACAAACATGCAAGCAACATTTATGTTGCTAACGTATATAAAACTAGCAATACATTCTTGCAGTGTTTGAGACAAGAAGTTGATTTAAGAACATTTATAAATGAAATGAAAGTCTTGTATAGACTCAGACTGTGGTGTTATTTTGTGCTTATTTCATTTTTTTATTACTTATGAATGAAGGTGCTAATTGAAGGTTTTTTTCTATTTTTGTATCATAATTCTTTCTATTGGTGTTAAGGTGTCATAAAGTATCAGACGACTAATTTGCAGTCCTTATGTTGCTGGTTTCTGTGAAAACATGGTCTGTTGATGATTTCACAGGTACATATTTAATCCATTAACAACCATTATGCAACACTGACCTAAGTGTAGATTCCATTACCCCTCCGCAGCATGGCCGCTTAACCACATGTTGGCATGCATGCAGCTTTAATGAAGTGTCCAGCTGATAAAGTAGAGCTGACAGATGGAAATTCCTGTGACTCATGATTGTGTCCCACTATTCCATCCATTAAATACCTTTCTGTCACTTTCTTTTACATTTGTTAATTTTGTCTCACGAGTGTCAGACTTCAGTAAGGCCATCTTAAGAATGATCATCATGGTTTCTCTTCTTCCTTCTGATTTAGTTTCCTGTATGCAGAGTGGTCTGTAATGCAATAGAACAATGCCATTCTTCTTTATAGGACACTTTTACAGCGTGATCACAAATTTACACTAGTCTTTTTTTCATTTTTCATTCTTGACAGGCCATAATAGACTGTAGTGTGTCACAAATGTAACCCACTAATTGTGTATGTCTGAACAAGTAAATGTATTTCTCATGAGACTGAACAAAGAAACAGCTCCTGTCCTTTCCATATCTATATCAATCAGTTCACTAAACATTTGGTCCAGATGCCGGAGCTCACTGTAAGCTTGAAAGCATCATAAACTCTGTCATCCCACGGCATGAAACACCAGTGCTGAATTCCTGATATACAGTAATGTGCTCTATTTCTCATTTTATAAGAAAAATTTTAAATTATTTAAACAAACTAAAGAGCCCAGTCAAATGTGGATTTTTATAAATTAATATGGAGAAAAACATTTGCTTAAAATTTAATTAATGCATGATTAAAATTAGTAATATTTATTTTCCACGATTTCTGGATAAGAGCATCTCTGTTGTTTTGCAGGTAAAGTCAGGGTGACCAAATGTTGGTGCTACTTCCTCATGTCTATAATAGAAATGTTAGTGATATGAGATCTGTTTTGTTGCAACCTGTAAACACAAACTAAAATAAAAGCCAGGTCTAGTTTCCACAGTAGACTCTGGATGAAATATAAACACAATACAACAGCTTTTTTTAAAAAGACTTACTAAAGTATGGAAAATGTATTTTGTACATGCATAACAAATATTAGAGAAGGACAAATTTCAACTTAGAAAATGTTATTCCACTCCAGTGTGCTAGTAGAATCAACCAAAACCTAGTAGAAATCATTAACAATAATGCATGATTCATATATTTCTATTCTTCAGTGTGAAATACGCAGATCTATATGTTGTAGGAGAATAATACGAAGTATTTGTGGAAAACATGGATTACCATTGGTAGTACTGTCTTGACAGAGAGTGTATATCTTTCATGATTTTAATCTTGTTATTAATGACTGGACTGTTTATGCTGATTCATTGAGTTCCTTCAGGGACTTATCTAATAGCAACCATTTGAGAAACATTAGATAACCTCTCTTACTGTATTATTATTTGTAAACAACCTTTAGTTTTTATAAATGTGACATACAGTATACAACTATGTTCTATTTCCTAATGCTTAAGAAATAAAATTAACTTAAATGCGTGTAATTGAAATGACTGAAACATGACTTGTTGTATGTTGTTTTTGTTGTACTTGTTGAGTTGTATGGTGAGATGTACTATAGAGCATTATTGGATCTAATAATTGTGACCCTAAACTGTCATTCTTTTGACCCTGAATTCTGCAACTTTAGTGAATATGTACAATGTTCTAAATAGACTGGAAAAATAGATATCAAACTATAATCATATATCAAAAAAGTATTCAGGCTCTGAATACTTTACTGAGAGGAATT